CCTTTCCCTACTCGTACATGCCGCAAATGGGCGCTGGGCTGAGCGTGTCTCAGGTGGGTTGATTTTTGCGCGTGTCAGGGGTGGTTGTGGTACAAAAGCTGCTACGTGCAAGGCTAAATCCTTCCATTTTGCATGAAAGATTGTGCAGTGGTGGTTGTTCAGTGCAAACTTGTGTTCGAGAATTCATTGAGCGGTTTGTAATGGTGCGACGCTTTGGATTGGCATCTCTCAAGAATGGCCTGCCCGAAGTAGATATTTGGGGCTTGCAGATGACCGCTTTGTTTACTATCGTACTATCGTCGACCTGAAACTTGCCAGGGCCAGCTGGATGGCTTGTGGCGCTCCCAGATCAATTCTTTTGTGAGGCAAGCCTCCATTGACTACGTGACTCAGGTATCTAGGTGAGAATGACTGATTTTTCCGGATTTTTACTTTTGTTTCTGAGGGTCCAAGTGGACCCAACCATGTGTGGCATCCCTCCGCAGAAACCGCATCGTTTGCGCTAGAAGTTGGCATCTGAGGGTGCAGCAGATGACGGATGCCTTCCGACACACCCAGGCAAGAGTCTGTGAGGAGTGGAGCTCTTCCCGAGGTTCCCCAATGCCCCAACCAGATTCAGTTTTACACTTAACCCATTATGGTACATGTGCCATGTTTATACCAGTGGAATGGTTCTAGGAGGGAAGATTTGCCAGGTCCCTTTTCCATCTCGTTGTTCATTCCACCATGCGCGCATGAAAGAGGGCCTGCTTGGTCTGAGATGTTGTTCATTTGAGGCCCCAGCACCTCCTCCACGAATGCAGGAGAAAGGGATGTAGTGAAAGTGGACTTGGCTTCGGACAAGTTGGGCATACCATGAGCAGATTCGTGAGCAACTGGAGTAAGTGACAAGAGAAATTACAAGACCCTTAGGCATGCACATCACTCTCCCCAGCCTCGAGCTCCGGCTGCCGTGCGTTTCTTTCAGGACTTGTGGGGTGGTTGGAGTGAACCAACCACAACGACGCCGGAGTGGCAAGGGCAGTTGAAAGATCTGAAGGAGGCACCTTGGTTAACGGTGGATGCGGTGCTAGAGAGGGAGGGCTAGGCAAGCCGAGATCGCTTTGTTTGGAGTCTTCTACGGTGTCAGGACTGTTTACTTGTGTTTGAGTGCGGCTTTTTGTGGTAGGAGAGCAAGGCTCAAAGATGGTTTTTGCGGCGCCTCCGTCGAGCGGCTAGGCGGTCGAGCGTCTCTCCCACCAGACGGATGACCGCTTTTCGTCCGGGTCTCTTCATCGAGGGCAGCACGGCACAGGCTAATAGTCGTTGCGTGGTGTGTAATCTCATGTGTTATCAACCAGTCCGAGAGAGTTCAGGTTGATATTTTTTTGCATGGTTTTGGTCAAAAAATAGTCTCCAAACACACGTCACTGGTTGGTGTGCTGAGTGGTTCGGGATACTGTACCAACATTTTGGATAAGACTTTTTTTCTGTAAGACGTGCTAGCCTTGCTAAACTACTGTACCCTAAAAAGGAAACTTGAAGACTCCAGCCCACCAGTAGCTTCCCAGCACAAAGTTTCAGGTCTTTGATGAGGCCCAGAACTGGCGCGAAAGGCTGGTGAGTGGTGGGACATGGTGGGTGAGAGGAATGAAGATTGGGCCATAGGGTTCAAGATCACATGGGGCAAACAAGCATGTGGGAAGACAGTGTATGCGAGAGGGAGAACGACTTAAACCAGTCGGTAGAGTAGGGAAGGTGGTGCAAAAGAGGTTTTCACCTCCTTATGCCTAGATCATCACCCTATGAGAAGAGCGACACGCAGCGACTTGCAATGTGAAGATGATGCCATACGTCATTCTTACTGTGACCTTATAAGCCCATGAAGGATGAGACATCGTGGCATGCTACAGAAGGTGGCATGTCTTTGGTCTTGTTTTGTTCACACATCATGCCTCATTAGGGGTGAGACATCATACTGTAATGTTTCCTGAAGGGTTGGACACCATCAATTTCCGTCCCTTAGGGCTACGCATGGTGGCCAAGGATGCGGGCTGTACCTTCCCACCACACCTGAATATAGACTAGTCTTTGCTAAGTGGAGGAATGGCATACCGGATTGGAAGGCTGTATGTTTTTCAGTGGATATTATCACTTGGGGGTGTCCCAGCACCTGAATTAACAGTCGGTCAAAAAGGATCACTATTTTAGAAAAAAGGTCCTTACTAACCATCATCATCTACTGTGACAGGGATTAGGATAGGATATGCCCAAATGATCACTGCTACGTCTGGATTCTTCTCACGTAGACGTGGGTTGGGGCCCAACAGCCGAGAGAGATGGCATACCGGATTGGAGCCTTTGAATGCAACCATGTGAGCGTCATGTCTGGAAATCATGTTACCGCAGCCATGCAATGGGCCGTAGCCATGGAGCTGATTGCAGCCCCAATTTCTGCCACTGATGCTCTTGAGCCTGAGGCTCAGTGGATGGCTTCTGCGGCCAAGAAAACATGAATGGGGTCTTCTTGCGGCAGGTTGGTTCAGCAGACAGGCTAGGCACGACAGATTCTAAATCCGCATGTCTCCTGCAGTGCACCCCCACAATGCACGATTACTTCACACTATTCTACCCGTCAAGTAGATGGGACAACTCATAGTCATTTACACAGCCCTACCTTGAGCTGGGAGCCAAAATTCTAGCAGCTAGAACTTGCGACAAAATTGCGCGACTTGGGTTGTCCGCCAAGAATGAACCGTAGATCTTCTCCCTCGAAAGCCTTTGCTATCCCAGTTCGGCCCCTGTGCTGTTCACGGATTCAACTTCGCAGATGGTTTTCCAACAAAAAGCTCGGGGTTTGGTCAGGCCACGGATGGTTTTCCGCCCCAGATGTCCGTGCCACCGCCCAGACAATGCCAGTGGCATGCCACAAGTGGCCCTCGCCCGCTCAGGGTGCCAGGAGGTGGGCAGGACAGGAGGACATGGACATTTTTTGTTGTTGGGAAAACATTGACATGCGAAAGGCTCTTGGAATGGTTTGGCTCCAGACCTTGGTCGGGAGAATCCAGGGCCACTTTTCCTGGGTCGTGTTGAGATCAGTCAGCACCATCACTCTGCAAATAGCTGCTTCACGCGATGTGTGTGTGTGTATACAATATATACACATATTAATATTTACACACATGTATGGGTGTCAATGAGTGTGTGAATCTTTGTGTATACCATATGGCACACCAATTGTACAGATATATCGCTGTTCTTGAGTTTTACAATTCACCTGACCTGTCAAGTTTTTCGTTTGCGCAGGCCTTGCCACATTTGGAGTGCACGGGCCCCTCCTTCGACCCAATTTGGACCGAGCTGCGCAAGATGAGCATCGCCCATCGCGAGGTGTGGGGATGCAGCTGAAGCGTGAAGCGATACACGTAAATCAGGATCTTGTTCCACAAACCACCTTCTGTTTCGATGTACTTGAGTCATTGTTCAGACTGTTCAGATTAAAGCGAGGAACCCCCTGGACGAGTTTGTGCATGTACTCGCACACCCTGGCTTTGCTATGGTGGAATGAAACTTGGGTCGGTGTTCCTGTAGTGTTTGCCCCGCAAGCCCGCAGCATTGAAGCAGCCGCCATGAATGACCCAAGCTCCCAAGTGAGCAAGAGGGCACCAGTTGTGGACGCAGACAGCCGAAACACAGTGCAATCTCATTAGAATGGCCCGACAGACATGGATCAATGCTTATATACTTGCACATGTTACATGTTGGGATGATTTTGATCAAGTGTTGCACATGCCATTGCCAACTGAAAGTTCGCAGACTCGGCCATGTATGTTTGGGATGGAAGGAGGCACCTCTCCAAAAATTGTTTCTTCGCATCTTCTTTGCCTCTTTGAGCGCCATGCAGCTGCTCAGCTCCGCCGCCTCCAAGGGCGCCGCGGCCGCCGCTGCCGCCGGGACGGCCGCCAGCGCGGCGCTGGGCGTGGCGGCGCAGAGCGCCGCGCAGGGCGCGCAGCGGGGGCGCGAGGGGTACACTGAGGTGAAGCAGTACCTGGTAGAGATGAAGGACAGGGGGCGCAGAAGCAAATTGACATGGGAAGGTTTGGAAGGTGGAAAGCCACTTCGTTCGAGGAATCCTCAGGAATTGCAGAGCCATCCCTGGAAAACACAATTTTCAACTGTTTTGTTTTGGGGTTTGGAGGCATGTTGGAGGTTGATCCGATCTGCGGAATCGGCGTGGCCCGCGGATTGCACGAGCCAGGACCGTGTGGACCTGGTGGCGCTCCGTGACGCGGGCTTCGGCCGGAGGGGCCACCTACTCCGGGGTGCCAAGGTGGAGAAAGGGCGACGTGGTGACCCGCTTGAGCTCACATTTGATCTTCATTTGAGCCATTAGTTGCACAAGGGGCCGAGGTGGCAGGATGGCATGATTTCGATGGGTTGTTCGGCTTCGCGGCAGGTCGAAGCCTTGGAGCGCTTGGTGAGCCTTTCGAAGCCCATCCGGGCCCGCGTGTTGCTGGCGCTGCGAGAGGCCACCAAGGCGGGGAGGATGTAAAACGCGAGCACGAGAGACGCTGGGATTTTTGGCGCAAGACGCACGGGAATTCGATTGGTCAGATCTGTAAGCCATGAGGGTCAGGGCCAGACAAGCGAGTACCGGCTTAAACGGACTCACGGAGTTTGCAAACCAGCGCTTGTTTGATCTTATTTGCACATCTCAAAGGCTGCGAGACCTAGCTCACAATCTTGACTGCCGGCTTCCTGGGATTAAGCTCCTTTTGTCAATCTAGCAGGTTGGAGCAGTTTTGTGCAGCTGCAGTGGTGCAAGTAATGCATTCATGGTTTAATGCGTCATTTGCATTTTTGTAGGCTGCGTTTTCCTGGCAAACCATTGGAGGGACAAAAGCAACGGCCACGAGCCTTTTGCCAAAGCAGGATTTTAGTCGCCGTGGATTTGGGGCGTTTCTTTGCAAGTAGCAGTCTCGCTTCAGCGCAGTCAGGATGCGGCGCTGTCAGATCCTGACATGTGGATCAGTGTGCGAGACCGCCTGGCTCGCCTCATCGACCTCTTCTGGGATGACCTGACGCTGTACATCGAGTCGGTGGTCTTTGATGCCCAGGAGAGAAGGGGGATCTGAAAGAGCCCTGTAGATGAGCCTAGGGGTGGGTGGCTTGAACATGATCCAGAATCCCATCACCAAGCAGCCCCTTGTTTCACAACGAAACGAATCTTCCCTGGCAGCATTGCATGTCACTCAGTCAGTGTGCAACCCTAATCTGGAGACCGGCCCCCAGGAGCAGATCCTCAACCGGGCTGCAGACCACCGGGCTTTAGCTGAGCTAGGGCCGCAGCCGATGTGTTGTGGGCCTCGCTGGCTCCGGGCCAAGCTCTTGTACAGCTACTTGCCCTTTGATATCTCGATCTTCGGGCAGATCAAGAGCCCATTCTTTCTTTTGCTGACCGTCATCAGCATCACTCCCATGTTCGGCATCCGAGTCGCCTTCTTTACCCTCATCCTTCTTTTGATTATTGCTGGGCGTCCGCCGGATGAATATCAGATGGTCACATTCATCCTCACCTTCAAAGGCTGGTTGGGCGCGTCGGCGACTTTTTGGGATTTCGACATAGGTGCAGGCCCAGGTCAAAAAACACGACATTTTTTGAACGCGCATTTGGGTGCTGAACCGTTCTCGCCGCCATGTATGTATGGCCAATTAGATAGAACACTTCGCAGAGCGCGAAGTGAAACAAATGAGAGGCGCCCAGTTCCTCTCCTCCGGAGTCTTCATGGCGTGCCTGGCTGCGGTGAAATACTACATGTGTGTGAAGCCAGGCTGGGCAGGGGTGGTCAAGGCGTACCAACAAGGTGTTTCAATCCTACCTCCTCCCACGCGAGAGCGGGAGTGATGTAGAACACCGCCCTGGTTCCACTTCTTGCCAAAGTCTTGGTGACCCTTTGTCGACTCCGCCGCCAAAGACTTTGCGGCAGGAGGCACCCACACCTGCGACACGGAGGGTCCGGGTGTGAGCCAAGACCTTGTGACGAGTTCCGTGGACTTCTTTGGCAGCTGTCTGTGCGCTGGCTGACCATTATGGGACGGTTCTTTTTTGCGACAGTTTTAGGGGTTTGCCAAAAAAAACCCAAAACTGTCGCACAAAACCCGCAGCCCTTATTCTTTTATGCATATAAGTATATAAGTATATATAGGTGGGTGGGTAGTTGGGTTGTGGATGGTGGGGCGCCCAATTCCCAACTAGAAGCATTTCTCTCCTTCCTGAGAACTGGAGCCATATCAGGAATTGCCCTTACACTGTCCAATCCTATGGCACCCGCTTCTTCGGGTCTCGGGTCAGTGTCTCGTGGGGGTACCCGTGCTCGCATGCTCGTGTGCGTTCGATGGTTCAGGTTGGTTTGGATTGCCTTTTTGCTGCTCCCCTGCAGCCGCAGCTTTGGTGGAGTTCGCGACATTGCGGAGGAGAAGGAGTCGAAGTCAGAGGCGCTGTAACCTTTCCCAGCATTCATCAAGAGTGTTCCTCATTGTATCAGGGAATTGGGCATCAGTCCTGGTTGAGAGAGTGAAGTGCTGGATTTGTTGTGACATTGTGCTTTCCATGGCAAGCTGAATCTATCACCACCTGTGGGAGATCCTTTCTCCATTCACGTTTTTGCGTATTTACAATGAGGGATCAGAGCCGCTGCTCGAGGTCTCAGGTTGCTGCCACGACTACGACCCGGGCCGTGGTGGGCGGCTAGCAGGACTGCTGGGCTATGACCTTTGCTGCTTCCTGGCGCCTCTGTGTTGATTAGAGCTCGGCGGTCGGGAGGATGTGCTCGGTGGGTGCCCACCAGGCTGTTGAAGAATTCACCATCTTAACCCCTCCAGGTTGGGCCCTGGAATTCTTGCTCATGACTAAACCATGAGCAAGACTCCCTAGTGCGGATGACCGACCCTGAAAGCTCAAGATTGGTGCTGGCATGGTGGGCCTTGCCTTTAGGCTGCAGGACATGTTGCTTGCGTGCCTTGTTCAGTGCCTTGGCTGGGCTAGATCGACCAAGGAGGTTCAGTGGGAGGTTCATTGGTGACTTTCGAGGATTTGCTGGTCAAGGGAAGCCCTGGGACTCGATTGATCATCCCGCGCGGTGTTCGTTTTGGATTGTATGTTGTGCCCAGAAGGACTGATGGAGAGGAACTCAACTCGCACTCAAATCGCACGAGTCTTTTCAGGTGAGTTGTGGATTGATTTACTACCTCACGATGCTCGACGTGGCCAGCCGTGGAGAGTTGCAAAATGCGCTCGACCAAGATCTCCTGGTGGACCTCCAGCGCTGGCAATTCCGCTCGCGCGTTTTCTTCGGCCGAGACTTGGAGAGTTTTCGTCGTGCTTGAATTTGGTCGATTAGTTTGGTTCTTGGGGCTTGGAGTTCGCTTCTTGGACATAGGATTTTCTGCAAAGAATCCTATGTGGCCCCAGTCTGTGCCGGTCTTGCTTTTGCCCAGGGATTCTTTATGGGCTTCTCTCTTTTCCCTTCATGATCTTTCAGCTGCCGGTCCTGAGCGGGATTTTGACACACACTATCCCAACGGGCTACAATGCGCAGGGGCTTTGTGTACCCTACCTGCTCCGCCCTATGCCTGAGAATGAGCTAGTTTCACACTGACAGGCCGGCCAAAGTGCCAGCGTGTAGTTCATCAGACAGTTGGGTTTGGGCCCTCACAAGTGGGGTGGTGAAAAAGTGTGGACCACTCACCACTCATATGCAGATACAGTATACTGCCGTAGCATTTGAGCCACGCCCATTGTGCCATTGTGCCGCACTCAGGCAGACCTGCAGTGGCAAGGCCCGAGCGCAGGGTGTGGGTGATTTGGTGATTTGGCTCATGGCTTCGTGCGAACGGCATCTGGTTTAGCTGGGGAGGCCACAGCAGGACATTCATGGCGATCCAGCGACTTTCTTCAGTCTACGCCCGGAGGATTCTTTGGTCTCATGGCTCTCAGCGCGGCTACCTGGGAGCTGATCAACTTCAAAACTCAAAAGACATGGCCGAAGTGCCAACTCAGCAAAAAGGGTCTTGTGACCGCAGATCTCCTTGCACCGCTGATCTCCAGTGCGGTGCGGTAGTTGAGCCGTTGAGCCATGGCGAAGCATCGAAGTCGGTTGCTGATGATCCTTCTGCTGCTGGGCGCGGCGAACCTCCCAGGCTTCATCGGAGGCCTTGGTTTTTATCGCTGGGGCAAGTTCAATCAAGGTTATCCTCAAGTATGTGTGTTCGTGCGTGTGCTGCGGAGTTCTGAAATCATGCGTAACGTGAACGAGTTTGGCACTTGATTGTCAGACAGAAGGTGCTGCCTTTCAGTGGGCCCCTTCGGTCGTGACAACGGCAACCGACGCAACGTCAGATGGCAGGTGTGCAGCCAACGCGTTGGCTTCAGGTGGGGGCACTCTTGATGTCTTTCTGTGAAATCGTGGACTCGAATCCAATCAGTGGTCGAAAGATGTCAAAAGGGAATACCCCGCGGGCAGCTACCACTACCCCAATCTATCACATACGCTCTTCTATGGGCCACCGGATGACGATCCACCGATCCAATTCAGAACGACGAGACCTCGTGAGGCCAACCACGCGCGGAGAGCTGGCACAGCTCCTCAGCGCAAGAAAGGGCCGGCGCAGGAGGGTTCACAGTCCAAAATGCACCAACTGCCCTCAAGGCATCCAGAGACTGGATGCCCAAATCGATTTCTGTTCATTTGAGGGATGTGAATTGCTCTGTTGGAATGGGGTGGAGTAGGTGGGTGAACGGCTCCGCCAAGCAACGCAGACCATGAGTTTTATTGACCAGAACCTTCCGTGTTGGGGTGGAGTTTAGTGCGAAGAAGTAGTCGAGTAGAACTGGATCAGTTGTAACCCAAAAATGCGCCATATATGTCGAGTTGGTTTTGAATGCAGCGGAGCCGGTTTCCAGGAGTCCCGCCAGACCAAGGACGTCCCCAACACAGATGTGTGGGTTTGCACGGTGGTCTTGGACCAACTTGGACCCCACCGTTCCGTTTGCCCAGTACCGAGGCCCGACAGGCGGAATCTCAGGATATTCAGCAGGTGCTCTCGTGCCTTGGGCCAGATCGATCGCAGGTGTTGATCCCATGTCTCTACAAAGAGAGTTGTGGCGTGCGGGCTGGAAGACACTGTGGGACTTACCAGAGGCTCCATTTTGGGTGACACCCTCTCCCACTCTGCGTGGTTAGGCTTTCAAGAGGCAGGGGTGGTGGGTGCTGCTGGTGCGCCGCGCACAGGAAGATCAAGGACCAGATCATGCAGGGCAAAGTGGGCGAACGGGGCGAGGAATATGTGGCTGCTCAGGTGTGGGCAGATGGCAGGGGTGCTGATGCAAGTGCTTCGTTGAGGAACTGTTCATTAGTTGTGGTGTTGACGGTTGACATCATGGTCAGATCTTGCAGCCAGCTAGTGGCTTGTGGATGAAACCTGGCATGCATGCTTGGCCTTTTGAGCACTGCTTGTACAAGCATTGCAGGTCTTCCTATTGCTTTGCATCTTGGTTGGCACCGTGCCCTTCCTGGGGGGTTCCTTGTTTTTCTTGGCGGGCCCCGTCTGCGTGCTCGCGGGCGCTGCTGCGATTGCTGCAGCCCTCTACGAGCTGGGCGGCGGTTTGTCACCCTGGGTGGTGCCTCCTGAGAAGTGGGAGCCTAAGGACATCACAGTTCACAACCAGATTCAGGACGATTATGGACGATGGTTTTTCATTCAAAATTGTAAATTTTTTTAAATATATATACACTCTGACTCTTCGATGTCACACCCTACCACCAACTGGATTGCTTGCGACCTTGATTTTTGCAGGGGAAGTGTCTCCCTGAGCTTGCGGAACCCTTCGCGTGTTGCGCTGGCACCAATTAGCCCCACAAAGATGCCCCTGGCACATCTGTGCTGAACTCCAAAAAATCCACACACCACGGACCACGGGGGTTCCAACATTGGGCGGAGCTGCTGCACCGGCAGTCACAACATTAGAGACTCGCTTCCTGGCAAGACCCGTGCTTTGGCGGCTTGCCATTGGCCATTTGGGACTGTAGATGATTTGGGACCTTTCGGACTCCCAAGGGTTTGGGACGACTCCCAACGGCAGTCGGCTCGGACCTGCCGAAAAACGCTCGGATCGCTCGGACATGCCGAGGTCCGAGTTGAAGACGGGGGGCATCTTCGAGTATGTCCGTCATCCCATTTACGGTGGTTTGCTTCTGCTCTGCTTTGGGGCCGCCATTGTGAGCAACAGAAGCTCGGCCGAGCTTCGCTGGGGGGGGATGGAGGTTAGAGACGTGTCAACGAAGCGCCTGCAAGCCAAGAACTACAAAAACGCTATACTTGGTGTTTTCGTTCAATGTTCCCGACCATGTGGGATGGGGGATGACAGGTGTGGGGCTTATCAGCATGTTGCAGCACGTTGCATTGAAAACGCAGAGTTGCTGGGGCGATGTGCGGAGATATTCTTTTCGGGTTCTGATCGACCGGGTGTTGGTGAGCTTCGTTGCAACGTCGTTCTTGCAGGTGCCATGTGCCAAGCACTGTGCAGTTCGAGTTGCAAGAGCCATCTCCACATGATTTTTGAGAAATGGGGTTTTCCTTCCTATTTGGACAGCTTTATGAGTTGACTTCCAGGAGGTGCATGTTTATCCTCGGACGTTTGAGGCGCCAGTCGCTTGGTCCTCACTCTTGTGCTCTACCTGGTGCTGGATAAGAAGGCAGAGGTGGAAGAGCAACGCTTGTTGGAGACCTTCAGCACGTACGGTGCCTGGGCGGGAGGGATGTATGGCGTCACCGGTTGCCACAAGGATTGTGGCCCATGGAGAAGCACAGTAAACCTCGTCCAGTACTCCAATACCCTCCATTGACCCCCTGCAACGGCGTGATGTTGTAGCCGAGGCGACTACAAAAAGAAGACCACGGCGAAGTTGCTGCCAGATCTCCAGAAACTTCTGAGCAGCACGGGCTCGACGACCGCGGGCTCGACGACCATCGATGTTTGATGGAGAACTCTGTCGCCAAACTGAGCATGCTGCTTGCATGTTTCTCGGGTTCCCCAAACTGAGGAAGTTGTCATGAAATTGCTTTTTGTGAGCAAGTCTGACGAGAAAGCTGAACGAGCACTGACGGAGTGTTCCAGTATCTGGCCGCGTGGCCAATTTGAGGATGCACGTTTTCACGCGCATGTCGAGAGCAAATGGCTGTGGGGCTAAAAGAGATGCCCGCATCACAGTTGAAGGATTTGCTTTCAGTCTATTTACCCTTCCCATTTCCAGGTCTTTGCCAACCACCCTCTAGAGTCAACCTTGCTCGACCACCGTGGGAGTGGAGGGGAATACTGTAGATGCTGTAGATGCTCCTTGGTGGGACAAATCCAGCACACACCTGAAAATCATACCATGAACATCCATTTCAGCTCCGACCCTTCTCCAAAGATGGCCCCCTTCGTGCCGGGCCAGGTGACTTGGCGACCCAAGCCTTCGTGCCTTGGAACACCGTCCGGGCCGTCCGAAGGGATCTGAAAACACGGTCACTAACGGGAGTGAGAGGAGTGAGTAGGGTGTGCCGCCAATGAAGCTCCCCGTCTCGTCATTTCTCGTCGTTTTTCCTTCAGCTCCACCTGGCGGGTGCCTTGTTTGCGACCAAGGAGTTGAGCACCTTTCTGCTGGGCAGCTGGATTTCAGAGATCCCCTTGGCACCCAAGACCTTCGATCAGGTTGGGATGGCCAGGTTCAGGCGAACTTCGCATTCACGTGGCCAAGATCACCTTTTTTACCCTGAGAAACTGGCGAAAGGATGCGAAAGGATCAACTTCAAATATGAAGCTTGAGGCCACAAACAGTGGTGCAAACTCACCAAATATCGCAAAGGATCTTCACTGGTGGGGAAATGTTGGTGGGTTCTCCCCGCGTGTCCTGCAGCGGACTTTTTCTGCTCCAAAAAAGGGCTCCGGTAAAGTATGCGATCCGACATGGTACACACTCGATTTGTGCACCGAAGCCTAGCAAACTTGGTACACTTCTCATGTACCTCAAACCTCACTTGGTGCACCTGCACTCCCCCTCGAGCGCTTCGGTCGAAAGAGGTGCCACCAAACTTTCAAAAAGCTTCCGCCACGCTCAAGCCCTTCATCTCCTTCACGGAGTTCTGAACAAAGTATACCCCCACCAGGTGTCTAGATGACACCCTTTCCTCCCATTTCGCTCATCCACTAGGATCACCTTCCTCTTCGCGACCGTAGGCCATGCCACCGTCATTCTCCACGGTCCCCATTCTTCCTCCAAGAGGGTCTTGGACTCGAAGTCAAACAGCTTCTTTCGATCCTGGTAGTGCACCCTGATGGCAATCTTCCGGCCCCCATCGTGGTCAACCAGGTGCTCCCAGGAGTCTCTTGCGGCTGTACGCCTCGGTGGGGTGGAGATGATCTTCAGGACAGCCTCATTGATGGAGCCCTTCTGAAAGCCGGGTGTCCTGAGGTAGTCCCACATTTCCTCTTCGTGGTACCACCTCCCCAACACGATGTCCTTCTCCACCGTGGTGACCAGCCTCAACGGTTCCACCCTGGGCAATCTCCCTTGGCGACTCTCCTCTGGTGGTGCTCCCCCTTCCTGAGGCTGTTCTCCATTCGTGTCACTCCCTCGAGCTTCAGTGTCTATGTGTCGCGGGGGTCCTCGGCCATCTCCTGGGTCTCGTGCGATGAAGTGTACCCCCTCAGAGTCCATCATCACCCACGTGCCCCCGTGATCACGTCGGGGTCCTCGTCGAACCATAGATCGGTCCCAGGCACTCATCCCCAGACCAAGGTTCGCCCTGCGCCTCTCCTCCGCCTCAGCATCATAGGCTCCTCGACACCATAGTTCTGACTCGTGTACTCGAGGTTCAGCAGGAGGTCCATGGTGTCCCTGAGATAGTCCCGACCCTTCAACTTCATCGGTCTGGGTGCTTCGGTCCTCTGCGGCTCCTCCTCTTCTCCCTCCTTGGACTCTCAAAGCTCGGACTGAGATCCGACTGACTGGATTTCGAGTGCCCAGTTCCTGTCGTTGGTAAAGGGGGTCGTCAGGCTCTGCCCACGGGTACATCTCCTCGTGCCCTGAATAGCCGAACCCTCTCGAGCCTCGGACAGTCTCTGTCAAGTCCTCGACACTGTTGACCCCAACCTCCATGATCTTCTCGATCACCAGCTGGGCCACCCGATCACCCTTGTAGATGAAGAGGTCCTCGTCGCTCCAGTTCCGCAGCAGCACCTTCACTTCCCCTCGGAAGTCCCTGTCGATGACTCCGGCTCCGGTCTCAATTCCCCGGATGGCCAAACTCGACCTCGGAGCCACTCGCCCATAGGTCCCTGGAGGAAGTTCAATCGCCAAGCCAGTCTTCACCAGAACACTATCACCTGATGGAACCATGGTCTCAATGATCGAGTGGAGATCCAAACCGGCTGCCTGCTCTGACCCGCGGACTGGTAGTCGTGCATCTGGATGAAGTAGCTTCACCCGGAGCTCCTCCTTCGGCGTCATCCAGCGCTTGACACCCGCGGCACCCACTCTGAACAGAATGTCTCCGATGATCGCAATCGCTGCTGTGAGGAGAGCCAAGATCCACCACTCGCTGCCTCCTCCATCTGGTTGGGTGTCGCTGGCCTCGACCCGAGTAATCATGCTCGTCGCCGCGATCAGCAGCCCAAGCCCCCTGGCGAACCTCGGGTCAGGACTCTTCCTTCCCACCTCCAGCCTCTTGACCTCCATCTTCTCCACCACATGGACCTTTTCCAATCCCAAGGTGTCCTTGAAGTTCTTGAGGTGCTGGCCCGTCAGCTGCTTCGTCATTCCATCCGCCACTAGCTCGACACCGGCCACGTGTCTCAAAGAGACTTCTCTCGACCTAAGGGCCTCCGTCAATCCAGCGGCTCGGATTCTCAGGTGCCGTGTCCTCCACGATGAGGTGGTGCCTGCAGCAATCGCTATGGCCGCCGTGGAGTCAGAGTGCATCCTCATCTTCACCTTTCTCTCAAGCACTGCCTCAACCAGAGCTCCCGCCGAGCGGATGGTCACCAGGCCCTCCAGCATCGCCATCAACTCAGCCTCTGCCGTTGAAAGGGTGACAAATGCCTGCCTCGTCGTATGCCACGCTATCGGAGTTCCTCCATAGCACACAACCACGCCGGTCAGGCTCTTGAGGTCAGATGAGGCGTACGAGGCGTCCGAGTAGACCTCAATGTCCCCCAGCACCTCCTCCACTGCATCCCGTCCTCCCTCGCTTCCTCGGATCACCAATCCTTCATCCCGGGTCTCTCGAAGATACGCTCGAACTTGAGCTCCAATGGCGATCACCCCTTTAGGCCTCTTGGTCGCCCATTGGCACATGAGGCTCACTGCCAGGCAAATGTCTGGGCGTGTTCTTCCGGCGACCCAAAGTAGCTCTCCAGTCTCCTTCTGGGCTCTCGTCACGTCGATCGCCAGGGGTGGATCCTCCTCCTCGGGCGTCTTGATGTTCCCGAGCGATGACCTTCCCTTCTCGTCATACTCCATGAAGAGATTCTCCAGGTACGCCCTTTGGTGGATCACATAGTCCCGCCCTCGCCTCTCAACCTCCATTCCCAGAAATCTGACTGGTTCCCGGCCTTCTTCGACCCATTCTGGTTCACCAATTTTCCAGTGCTCTCGGACTCGTTGATGAAACTGCTCAATCACCTTCCTTTCTCCGGTGATGAGGATGTCATCCACGTATGTGGAGCATAGTCCCGCAAGTTGCCAGCCTTCACCCCCTTCGACCAGGCTTTTGATCGCCCAGACATCATCTTGAGCAGTTCTCTCCATCATGTACTGAGTGTGCTCGGTCTCCCACTTGAAGTCTTTGATCTTCTGATCCCTGTGGACACACCAATCCCTGGGAGACGTCACGAGCCCGTACAAGGCCTTCTTGACCAGCCAGTACTCCATGGGATCTCGAAGCACCTCCGCCTCCTTGAAGATGCGAGGCGGTTCCACGATCACTGTGCCTCTTTCGGCGGCCTCATTCACTGGAGCGTTGAGGAACGCCGTCTTGACGTCGATGGTCGAGAGGTCCCATCCGCGAACAGCAGCCACCTTCATCAACATCCGCACCTCAATGCCACTAGCTCCGGACGCAAAGGTGGACTCGCTGCTTTTCGCCTGCATGAAGTTTCCGCAGGCGACCCCTCGGCACTTGTGGCGACCCGTGCCAGCCTTTCGACTGAAGATAGCCTTCGCAGGTACCAGGTCGAAGTCCTTTCCTGACTCGGCTGCCTGCTTCCGGAGTTCTTCCATCCGGACACGGTCGATCGGCTCAACCGCCTCTGATTCTGTGACCAGGGCACCATACTCCTCCGCCATCGATGGTCTCCACTCGGCCATGTTCTTCCTGACCTCGGCCAAGCCCACCATTCTCGTCTGAAGGAACTCCGGGTGCTCCTCAATCTCCTTCTCTATCTCCACGGCCTTCTGAGCTTCTTCCCACTGGCCAACCTGATTGGCCTCCTCCGTCACCGCCTCCACTTCCAGAGTGAGGGCCTTGAGGAAGCGTTCATTGGTGATCTCACCCTCATCCTCCTCGACCAAGCTGAGCTCCTCGGACAGGAGTTGAGCTCCGCGCTGCTGCAGCTCCCCCCAGT